ATGTGAATGCTTGGCATTCAGTGTGTTCATTTTGCTTTCGATGGCAGTTCATCGAATCAGCATAAATTGTATTGCAAATGGGTAACCTCAATTTTTTTAAACGAATATAACCTCAATTTTTTTAAACAACCGCGAATTGTGTAGCTTGCACATTCATTTGACATTTTATTTGCCTTATAAGAACCATATGTCATCGCACTCATACAATCGAATTAGGTTCAGTTTCTGGCTTGAAACTGCGTGTTTGTTTGTGTGCGTGTATTATTATTATGTGTATCTGTGTATAATTCCTTACATTTGCCGACCTATAAAACCACATGTATTCACAATTCTTTGCTATACGCAATCCAAAAGTGAGTTCCCTTTCTCGACTTTTTTCTCTTTTACAAAAGCAATATCATAGCACCAACCAGCTGAACAGCGGTGTATGTGGTTGGACTTATTTTTTTAATGTGGTGTAATCGTAGGTAAAAGTTGCAATAGAGACGTAAAATACGTTTTTCATTTAAATCGATCACTGAAAGTGTTGTGTTTCATTCATTCAAGTGAAAGGTGAATTGATTTTTACAATTAAATTCGAATTTTGTATTCATTTAATGTCAGCTATTGAAATGTCATGATTTAATATAAGGCATATTACTCATCATATTGTTTCACGTTGTTTTAGTCACGCAAAATAGATGGCAATAATGTCTGAGGTTGGATCGAACGATGTACCAACTGGAAATGGTGAGGCGCCAGTTAAATCGGCTAAACAATTTTAAAAGGAGGCCAAGAATGCAGCCAAATTAGCCAAACTTGCTGAAAAAGAAGAAAAGAAAGCCGCTGATACTGAGAAAAAAGCCACCAAACTAGCTAAAGAGGTAAATATTTTGAATGAATGTATTTCGTGAATTTTACAAATAACAATTCGTGACCAAGTTTGTTTTTTATAATTAGAGAAAGAAGGAAAAGACAAAAGACGTGAAAGAATCGGCCGTTTTTACCGCTGGTTAAAAGGAAGACATATCTGGACCATATGCGGTAAGTTTTTTTCCTCTAATTTTCGTCCATTTTTCAAATAAAAAAACCCCAAAAGAAAGAATTGCAATTCTAATCGTCGGTTTTATTGCTATTTCCCATAAAAAAGCGTCCCATAACCGAGGAGAATCCAAAAGGAAAATTTGTAATGCTGATACCACCGCTAAATGTGAGCGGTTCATTGCATTTGGTTCATGCAATTACTGTAACACATTGGCATCGTATGAATGGCAAAACAACACTTTGGGTGCCGGGTCGCAACACAGGTCGCTGTCGAAAAGAAATTGTGAACTGTCCTGTGTCGATTGTGTATTATCCCTTTGTATATGAATGCCATCTGAACTGCGTTCGGCCGAATCTGGTACCGCTTGTGTTGATGATGGTGATGAGTTATTGGGTGATGAATCCGACAAATCAATTGATGAAACGTTATTCGGGAATGAAAGTGGATTGTAAACGCCACGTCGAAAGCGATGCACTCTGAGGTACCGGAATGATCGAGCTATTGAACTTATGAAATTGAAATCGGGAATTTTTTCCGGCAACAGAGCACACAGTTGTTCCAATGTTTCATAACGTGAAACACTGTAAAATTCGGGTTTTTTGCACGATTTGTACACGGTATCACAATAGGCTGATGAAACTTACATTTCATGCGAATGATTTGCCTCTTTGCTCGTACAAATTGCGGTCAAATTACGGGATTCAATTCGAACCAAACGTATCATTTCATTATCCAAAACAATTGAATTGGTTTTTGAGTCCAAACGACCAACTGTTGTTCCACAATTTAAACACCTCACTTTTGAATCGTCAATCGTTATATTGTAAAATTCTGACGGCGGACTTACTGCACCTGGAAAAGTCAGTTTTTATTCTTCCGCACATCATTTCTTTGTTCAAGAGCGTTTTAGAGCAAATTCAATGTGAAAAGATTTTTTTTTTTTGGGATGCTCACTGTAGTAAGTATGACCGGCACATTTTTGGTGGTGAATTGGTTCCAGACCTTCCTCAATTGATTCATGTCAATTCATAATTCAGTCCATAAAAAAATATAATTTAAACCAAGTGTATTTTGAGTACCCTTTCAACATTTTGATAACCATTCATATTTTTTTCATTAATAACAACCCGTTTTTTATAAGAAAATAAGTTAAAAACTGTTCGAAATAAAGTATATTTGATATTTTAATAATTTTTTAAATTTATAGATTTCATTTAATTGTTTTTTCATACAGTCTCTTTAACCACTGTTGATAGATAATGTTGCCTTGTCTATATCTGAACTCTTTGTGCCATCATCAATCAAAGCGGTTGTTAATGTGTTAAAGTCGTTTGCATTATCTTCATTTATATGATCAGGTTGTGCACATCTTACACAATTGCATCGGAAAAACTTCCGACGCCTGTCAATGTCTACAGCTCGGAACAATGAATTATGGTTATATAGGTAATGTATAGAAAGGCATTGAAAACATCTAAATATTCAATTTTAATGTGGATTACGTAATCTTGTGATCATCAAGATGTCATCAACAATGTAATCATGACTGTTCGTTTTGTAAACATCGATTTAATATTTTGAAGCAAAAAAAAAAAAACAGAAAATCAATGTTTAAGTAAAAAATTAACTCTGCAAATGGACAAATAAAGTCATAGAAACGCCAAATAGTATTTTTTCTAAATAAAAATTATTTTATTTATTGCTGTTTCATACGTCACTACGCCTAACAAATAGTGTAATTGAAAGAGAGACGCAACAAAGAAATTCCAATACTATATCCGCCGATGACGGATTGCTAAGACGACGGTGTCTGTGTAAAGTCGTTTACAATTGCGCACCGC